GGGGGGGGTTATTTTTTTTTATAAATACCCATTTTTTCTTCTAAAAAAATCACACTCATCAATCCATATCCATCTCTCTTACTCTCTAATCTCTATTCTCTATTCTCTCATTCTCTCAAATTTCAATATCTCAATCTATCATTTTAATTTCTCAATCTTAATATCTTATTATCTCTTTTATACATTTTTTTAAATATATTATATTTTAATATAAAAAATTTCGAAATTATTTGAAATTTTCGAAATTTAATATTTCTTTAATATCAAAAAATATATAATATATATTTTAAATATATTCTCTATTTTTTTTTTGAAATTTTCGAAATTTTTATATATAAAATTTCGAATTTTTTTTAAAGTTTCGAAATTTAATATATTATTTTTTTATATCAAAATATATATATATATATATTAAAATGTCGAGAGAGTCCGGTAGAAGGTCCGTGGATATGGGCGCCGTGAACCGAAGTTCGAGTAGAGGCAAAGCAAAAGCCACCTCCGACGGTTCGACCTCACGCGTTTCTCGAGGAAGACACTCCGTCTCTTCCTATCCTGCTATCCCCGATCACTTAATCGGGGACGCTATGACGGATGAAGAATTCGACCAGATTTATTCTGGTAGAGGGGACGGAAATCTCCCCACTCTTGATAGTGTATTCGAAGATGTTGATGAAGCACATCTGGATAATCTGGACGGGGACGAGGAGCCTACACCGCAGAGCAACGACGTCGGCGTGGATGCAGGTGAGCCCGCGACCTCTCGAGGTCCGGATAAAGGTAAAAAAATATAAATCGGAGTTATTTGTTTATCATTTTGACAAAGAAACAAAAGATGGCGTAGTTTATGGAACTTGTAAACATTGTGAGACCGTCATAAAAATGGGAGTCTCCGGCGGTTATGGCGGTCCAGAAAAACACCTAAGGTCGAGGCATCCCGTGGAGTTTGCCAAATACGAGGCAAAAAAGAAGGGACGACAAGAAGTGCAAACCCAAATTTCTCGGTTTGCTAACAGAGGTAAGGCGGCCTTTTTGCTTATAGCGACGAGCAAAATAAGCAAAAAATGGCCGAAATGATTTGTGAAGAAAATTTGCCATACATGTTTTCTGAAAAACTTGGATTTATTGATTATTGTCAACAGGCATTAAACCCTCAAGCACGAGGTTTTTCAAGAAAAACAATTAAACGAGAAATTATTCGTCAGTATAAAACTGGAAAAATAAATTTGGCAAATTTTTTTTCAATTTTAATTCTCGTGTTGCTATTTGTTCTGATATTTGGAGTGAAACTTATCATAATTTGTCTTATATGAGTGTTACTTGTCATTGGATAGATAGTGATTGGATTATGCATAAACGTGTTCTTGCATTTCGTGGTTTCAATGAACAGCATAATGCTGAAAATATTTTCCTATTGCTTCAGAGTATTCTGCGGGAATACAACTTATCTCACAAAGTGTTTTCATTTGGTTTTGATAATGCTACTAATAATACTGTAGTTATTCCTAGACTTAGAGAAATTTGCCCACCATCTACGTCTATGGGTAGATTTCTGCATCAACGGTGTGCCTGTCATGTTTTAAATTTATGTGTTCAACGGGGACTAGAAGCTATGGGCGGAGTTTTGACGAATATTAAAGAAGGAATTAAAAAAATTTGGGGGGCTCGTCTTGTTTCTAGGTCCTGGAAGATGTTCTGTAAGTCTAAGGGTAGAAAAGAAATAGTTTTTGCCAAAGATATCCACATTAGATGGAATAGTACATACAAATTGATTCACCAGATTCTAAAATATAAAGAGGAACTTGCTGAATTTTTTAGGGATGAACTTCGTATAATCATTGATCCTTTTGAATTTGTTATTGTTGAAAAATTGAATGTCGTATTAGAAGTTTTTAATAACGCAACTCTTACTTTTTCTCATGTTTACCAACCAACTACAAATACATTTTTAAAAGAGTGTGTTACAATTGCAACATGTTTTCGTGAAAGTAAGGCTGATCCAGATTTGTACCCATATGTCTCTCCTATGATACAAAAATGGTGTGCTTATTATTTGTACATTCCTGATATTTATAAAATAGGTATTATTTGTGATCCACGCTTTAAGATTGAAAATTATAAAATTTTAATTGAGTATTACTACAGTTGTTTTTTAGATGAAAATAGTTATTACTACAGTTATTTAGTAGAATGGAAAAAAGAAAGAGATAATGCTGTAACTTTTTTTGAGAATTTGTTTGAGGAATATCAGGGGTTATACG